TGACAATTTGTTCGTTCTAGCGTGGCGTATGCATGATGTGGTTTGGGCGCAACGTCTTGCGATGCATGATATTGTTGCGTAATTATATGTATAATCTCACTTGAGAAAGACCCAATCGGGGTCGAAACGTTGTGAGACGAATAAATGGAAATTGGCCAGTTGGGTCGCTTAATCTCGATTATTATTTTTATCTACGCACTGGCGGATCCAATAATTTATTCCATTGTTTAAGTAAATATGTATATGCTGCGTGTTTATCATATTTTAAAGATTTTCAAACTTTTTAAAATTCTTTGTTATTTTCTTTATTTTTTCCGTTATCTTTGTATCAATCTAATTTATATTAATTAATGTAATAACTTCTTCATTAAAAAATGAAATTTTCTTAATTTTACCGCATCTTTATAATTAAAGAGTAGGTAATATATGCAACCAATTATAATGTCGAATAAATCACTTTCTCTCCAAGGGATCAAATTCAATGAAACTATATATTACAGGAACATTCTTAAACATGATGAGATGTATATTAATAATGTTAGATTGCTATCCCACTGGGTCATCTGGTCACATTCGAATACATAATATTAAACTCAGGACGCGTTTTATTGTTTACACTTCCAAAATAGGGCGTGCTGGTTTCTTCGAAGTTTCGGCCGAGAGGCGATTTTTAACCAGCGCGTTACGCCCGCGGAATTTAAGCGTCACCGTAACGGCGCGTACGGCCGACTTGATTGTCATATTTTATAAACAACGCGGCTGTGCCGCACAACGGGAACCGTTGTCGGCATATTTGCTGATTATTTAACGGCGTCCTTGGGACCGACGATGAAGGGGGTTCCTCATTTTTTACGTTGTCAATGTGACCTAGAAAAATAATAGGAAGAAAACTATCCAGGAGCGTACAAATAAACCGCGAGGTATATTTTTTTGCTCCAGTCGATTACGGTATCAACGCGTTGGCGTTAATTGAATTGAATTCATTTCTCGACTCGTGGCATTGAAATGTTTAAAGCTCGCGCTGTTTCCTCCGACTCCGAAGGACGCGGAATTGAATCTGAAGGTCCGCCGAGAGAATACGCGTGCAAGCACTTTGTGATATAATGTAGATCTTCTTAAGTTCAAGTAATAGGTAAAGCTAGATGAAAATTATTATGGGGAATTCTATTCCGCTTGCGCGAATGATTGCAGACAATTTAATGCACAAATTTCTTTGCTCATTTAAAAACAACAATGCTACTGATTGCGAAAGACTTAACGACGGATTCTTTCTCTCTCTCTATAGATTTTTAGCTGTCGTTATAAAGAATAGCTAAAAGATTGTTACCACACAAAAGTATTATGAACACAATAATATCTCTGATATGCGTTTCAGAAATACCTACAGCCCCTGAAGAGCCCCGAAAATGCCGGTCTGGTGGATGCTGCAACAGTCGATGAGATATTTTATCAGGTAGATGTGACATAGGCGTATAAGCGGAACTATTTTCGTATTTTCGTCGTCAAAAGCGTGTACGTCGCACTTATTCCACGCGCATAAATCCATGCCTCGTCGGCGGGCTGTAATTCAACATCCGGGAAGTTTCACGGAACCGAGGAGCTCCTCTCTCTTCGCGGGGTTATATTTTATAAATGCCGCGTCGAGTTGTATATAGGCGGAGGAGGGCTTTACGATCTTCCGACCGACCGAAGATTTAAGACCAAGATCTAACCGCGAAGTTGATCGATCCCGCTCAAATAGGCGAACACCATCGACTGCGAAATGTTCCGTTCGATTCTTTATAATTTGTCCAGAACCGTGATCAATTAGCAAATTGCTATATATTAATTATTAATGAATTATTTCGAAAAGTGTAGCCGAGATCATTAATAGTTCATTATAAATGACATTTAATTGGAATAATATTTAATTCATTGAATATTAATGACATTTATATAATACTAGTATATGTGTAGGCGTTAAATAATTGTTAAATGTATAGGCATTAAAACAATAATTAGGATTTAAAGAATGCATTTATTATATTATGTGACAGTTTTATTGAAAATAAAAAAATATTAACAGAATTTTATGAAGTTTAATAGCAGCATAAAATAGAGCTGAGATTATAGCTGTTTTTTTTGTTTTTTATGTTTTAATATAAATCATACATACCTATATATATCTTTTTTAGCGAAAAATATATAATAATCAGACATAATGTTAAAAATATTATTAACTTATTAGACACAACAGTTACATAACCAAGTCTTCCACCTGTTAGACTTGATACCTCGCGTTTTATTCGAATTCTTAGATTTCTGATGTAATCCCCCCATGTAAAGTATTATTTGATTGTGCGTCGATCAATCAAAGATAAAGTTGTCGAAAGGAAATACTCGTGCATTTCAGATCCCTGCGCTTCTCAGTCATCACGAGGTATTCTTGGAGGAGTTGCGTAGGCGACTGGACACCTGGGAACTCAGGCAGACGATCGGCGACGTCTTCCTCGATGTGGTGAGTTTACATTGTTACTAGGTGCGCAAATATCTCCGGCCGCGGACACGTAATAAATTACACTGCGCAACAGTATCCGTTTTCCTTTGCCATTAAGATTCCCGCGCCAACAAAATCGACAGACGCCATACAGTTAATTCGTGGCTCGTTCTTCTATACAGTCTACGTTAATAAATCGACCAACGTCGCGACCATACCACCCTTTACATAAACACGGAATACTTTTATCTTTGAAAACACATTTATCTGCGTTTCGCATTTTTCCCCGCGGATCATGTAATGTAACGAATAAATTTACAGCGGTCGTTTCGCGATGCCGTGATATTTCAGGATTTTCTCTAAAATGTTAGGATACAGCGTGAGACTAAATTCATTCCCGCGCTTCGGCTTTGTCAGCCGCGAATTAATTCTGGCGTATTGGAATTTGGTGCGCGATTGATATTACAAACAGAATAAATTTTGACAGCGTCGCGACTTCACGTAACGCCAAATTGTATCCTATTATTATTCAATTGAGAGGGTGAAGTTTAACAAGTTCTCATTATCCGCGAATTTGCGTGCCCCGCATTTGAAAATGCCGTACCAGAAACGGATTTAAGCTTTTATATATTGATTATTTAAAAATAAACTAGAAATATGCCACACTTACATTTTTACTAAATCTTTTAGCAAAATACTTACTTTGCAAAATAATCTGACTCAAGCATTTTAGATGAAATAGTGAAATGCATTTAATTAACAAATTGAATATTGAGAATATCAGTTTATTTAGATGACCTTTATTGTCAGGTATATCTTTATTCAAGTATTTTCATAATCCATCTTTAACTAACAAAGACGTAAATAATAAGTTCAATATATTTTTTAATAATGTTTTTATTAAAGAATTGCGTTTTGTGTACAACATACGTTTTCACTGATACGTGAAGATATAAAGAGCTCGTGTCGCTTTATAGTTCACGAAGCCGGTGGTGCTGGAGACATACACCCTGTTTCTGGACAATTGGAAGTCTGCGAGGAAGGCGATAAAAACAACGTGCCAAGCGAAGCCGGCCTTCGCACGATTTCTCGAGGTACGCTGCACATTCTATCCGTTGCGACTCTTTATATATATATAAAGATATATATATATATATATATATATATATATTTCTCTCTTTACAACACGTTATTATTAAATACGAAACTTTTTTATTCCACGTCACTTCTTAAAGCGTCACGATCAAACCTGACCTTTCGCAATTTTATCGATATAATTAACTTATTACTTGATTGCCGGCATTACCATCGCCCACTTACCGCTTAGATTCTCATGAGGCTGGGCGCATTTTCGACGCACTTGGCAACTTGGATTTACTCGAGAAATACGAAGTATATCAGTCGCTTTAAACACTGAAACGCTCTTAAATGTATTATTATTGTGCATCATCATTACTGATTGTGAATTATTATCTCTTAGATTCGCGATAGCTTTTAACATTATGTAACATATACATGTTACGTTACATATATTTTTTCAAAAAGTTTCTTTAAAGCAGTTTACGATTTTATTTAAAAACTAACTTCTTTGTATATCTTATTAAGCAAAATTTTAATTGGCAGATATCGTTATGACTGTATAATAGTAATTGTTACCGTTTAACTACCTAAATATTGTACGGAAGTTAATTTTACCAAAATCCGCGGTAAATTTATCCTAGAGGATAGTTCACACTTTGTTATAATTAGACAATGGAGCGCGAGCACAAGGGCAAGCTGGGTCTGGATCAGCTACTGATCAAACCCGTGCAGAAGATCCCGCGGTACGAACTGTTGATCCAGAGGCTGCTAAAACACACGGATCCGACGCATCCCGATCACGAGTTGCTGCAGGCCGCGCAGAAGGTAGTGCACGAGCTGGTAGTGAAGATCAACTGTACGGAAAGGGAGTCGCTCGAATGGGAACAGCAGCAGACCACGCTGAGAGAGGTCCAGGCCCTCGTCGAAGGTCTCGCCGGCATCGTAACGAACGACAGGTAATATAATAACTGCGAGCCGATATTCGTTTACAATTTTTACGTCACCCGCGGAGCACGGATAATAATTCGATTCGGCTTTGTTTTCCTGAAGACAGCTGGTCTCGGATTTACGATCGATACGTTGCGGTCGCGATTTATGAGCATTTTCCAACGTAATATCCTTAGATTTATGATCGATGCACGTGCGGCATAATTTATCACGACGGAAGGATAATTCTCAATCATTTCCCCATCTTGACGTCGACGAAGGATGTCGAAACTCATGTTCGCTGAAGAGCGAAAAAAACAAAAAAATGAATAATCAAATAAGAACTACAAATTATAAAATAAATTGCTCAATTTACGTACTATAGCGTTTCCAAAGTCGTGCTTCGTCATTCATATTTTCTTTGTGTCTAGTCTAGATGCTCAGGTATAAACATCTAAACAATTTTTTATAAGGTCAACCTATAATAATGATCAGACAATTTTTTTATAAGGTCAAGTCATAATAATAACATAAATTATGATTGTTTGGTGTTTATTACAATATCATTATCCATGATATCAAAATTATAATATTTGCATGCATAAATAAAAAAATTATTTACAGAATAATTAAAGCGAATGCGCCAAAAAATTATTGCATGCTTTGTCGGGACATAAATTGTATTTTAGAATGACCGCTCGAATTGACTACTAGGAACATAAATTATTAAGAAAATACATATTGCTAGACTGTTTCGTGGTGAATAACGTTTTCCAATAAATTATCGACCATTGCATGACAGAAATGTGTCGTCCCACTTCACATGCCTTTCAATCTGTGTCAATCGTCTCGCACGCGTTACATAGTTTTTCCACTGGACTTATTTAGCCATCGGAATCGGAATATTGATTACCGATAATGATGCGTGCTGTAGCGGAAACTGGCCACGACGCGACAAAAAGATTCATCGAATTCATCGTGTGACACGTTGTCCGCTTTTTCTCCCACAGAGCTTTCGTCCGACACGATCTGGTCACCATAGCGTCGAATCAGGGTACACGGAAGGAACGAGCTTTATTTTTGTTTTCCGATCTCCTCGTCATCACCAGCATCAAGCGCAGAAGCGGCACGATAAGAAAACCATCAACGTAAGCAAGATTATTAGAGAAATATACTTATATATATAAAAATAAAATTCTTTTTAGCGGGGTGCGATAAAAAGTGTTCTTTTGAACTTATTTGTTTAAGTCAAACTTATTTTATTTGACGTTTTAGTAGAAAAAAATTTAATACATAAACATGTGGAAACATTTTGCATTACCAAACATCTATTTAAAACTTTCTTAAAATAATTGTAATGCATTCAATTACTCTTATTTAAAACACTAAGCATAATGCAAATAAGAGAAATGAATATAAAAGCAGTACTTTCTAGTTATTGTTTAAATCATATAAAGTAATTGCTCAGTATATATTGCGTTGCATTACGAATTTTGATATATAAATTATTTATATATATTACATATAAAATTCATGTTTCTATATATAAAGATAAATAGTTTTTAATAGAAATATTGTTGTGACAATAAAAATACAAAAGAAATGAAAATTCACAGAAGCACGTGTCCGAACAGCCTGGTCGGTCTGCTCGACGCAAACAAGTACAAAATGCTGATGCGGATCTCACTGGATGATCTCGAAGTGATGAAAGGTATTGTAGAGACATCGATAATATATTACTCATCGTTCGAGCCTGAGAGATTATCCTAATATCGTTTTCAGCCAAAGACGAGAATTTAAGACGAATGGTACGCGAAGTGGATTATCTCCGAGAAGATTGCACGAAGTTGACTCAGCTGCAGGAACTCGCCGCGACTTTGCATGGTGCCAAGCAGCAGTTGGAAGACCTTATCAAGGATATGCTGAGTCAGGCCCAACGGCAATTGGCGGAAAGAAACGCGGCGCATTCGCAGTTGGCTTGCTTGGAACTTACACTTAATACTCAGTAAGCGTGCCTCTCCGAAATTAAGCAGGATAAATAAACATATAGTGAAGAGCTTAGGGGATCGATGATGATAAAATATATTGATGTAGTTCTTGCGACTACTCGAGCTCTTACTTGCTGCAAATTCTTATTATAAAATGAATCAAAAATATATAAGGTGTTTATATCTTTATTTTACAATTTATATACACGGTCAAATTATAGGAAATTGATGGCGATAAATAAGTTTAGCTTGATGTGAGGTTATTAATGGAAACGAACTTCATCTAATTTTGCAAAATTAATATCGTGAAATCCTTTGATCGTTGTCGAAGGATCGTTTCCGATCACGTTTCCGTTACATGTGCTAAATATTGGATCCCTAAATCATGATGATTCGATCGCGGTCGCAACGTGCCTCACATTACTGTGTATTTTGTTTGCAGAGCCGGGATCGAGAATATATCCGTCATGTTCGCGAAGCCTGACAAGCGTGCGAGCTGGGAGGAGAGTTTTAATGAAGCCAAACAGAAGCTCGGTGAGAAATATTACCTAGTCTTTTATGTCAAGCATTCCACGTTGAAAAAGCCATATCTGATAAAAGTTGATTTTTTTATATTAATACACCTAAAAATAATCCTTTTATTATATCGTTCGATAGAGTAATATAATTGATATATCGAAGATTTTACAAATAGATGAATAATTTAATCAATCACAATTATCTTTTTCGAGCTTTCACACAAAAGCAATATCTATGATATAAATAAAATATTTAACGAAGAGTTGAATAAATGAATGAATGAAGAGGTATGTAAAACTTAAATTATGATTCAGAAATATAAACGTTTTGTTTAACAAAGTCTTAATTAGGCCAACTTATACATCAAATTGAATTCCAAATCTTTTGTAACTTGTAAATGTAGGTTGTAGCATAGACACATTCATATAAGATGTATCCACATATAAATCTTCCACCTTTAAATCTGTTACGTACCTTTTATTTTTCATTTAAAAGTAAACTCGCAAGAAAATTTCAAGTACTTTTTCTTTATGTGTGCAGCACTATCGGCTGACAGGAGACCGTGTCCTGAATTCGTGGGGCCTCTGCCCATCAGGAAAACGCGAGCGGGCCTCCAGTTCACTTGCGCGGCGCCGACATTGGCGAACGGGCAGGGATCGAAGGATGTCTGGGTCTGCAACAGTGACGGTTACGTCGGTCAGGTGTGCGTACTGAGTCTAAGCCCAGAACCACCTCAAGTAACGTCGTGCAATGGAGTCTGCAACGCCAGGATACTCTGCGTCGCTGGAATACCTGCGTGTACGCCTGGGTAAGATTGACGAGAACAGATGCGTAAAAAAGTTTGACATTACCACGAGATATAATTGAATAGCTAACTAGGTGGAGGAAAGTACGAACACACGGTTTTAAATTTATTAAAAATTATTTGTCTTTTCAGCTCAAACTCGTGCACGTCGAACAACAGTCCGTTTGCTAACAGCAAGAGTGGTATAAGTATCTCGGTGCAAGACGTGGATGCCAGCGGCGGTAACATACAGTTAGACAGGTAATATTTCTTCTGCAGCTTCTAGCGACTGACGCGTAAATAATGCTATCCGAAACTTGGCAATATTAAGTGGTTCATAATTGAGTATGATTTATTGATAATGGCGAATATTAATAATGGCCACATTACTCCTGAGCGGATTAAACATAAATATCTGGAACGTTGATTTATCCAGTAATGTATCTTATATTTAAATTTATAATTCAACATATTTATTAAAATTAAATATTAATTATTAATTATTAAACTGAAGTACAGTTAACGGTCATGAAATTTCTTTAAAATCAGAGTAATTGGAATTTGCATAGAAGGCTGCCACGCAGGAACGTTTTATTTAGTTTAATGCTATTTCTGTTTAATATTTATATTTGCTCGCACATTTTGCAGTAGCTCGAGCTCCGACGATTCGGACTCGGACGACATTCCATGTGCAGACACGAGCAGCGTAACGCTGAGCGGCGACGTATCGAGTATCGACAATACTATCACGGAGGAGGATACGAATCAGCCTACGATGTGGCTGGGAACCGAGGATGGCTGCATCCATGTATATAACTGCAACGACAACATTCGTATCAAGAAGAACAAAGTGAAGATACAGCACGGCAGCAGCGTGCATTGCATCATGTAAGTCGTTTTGTGATCTATTTTATTACTACAAAGGAATAGGAATGTTTTCTTTTTCACGCTTTATTCTAAACTCTCACGATATTGCTTCGTGATTTCAGATATTTAGATAACAAGGTGTTCGTCTCTCTTGCCAACGGAGATATCACCGTTTACGTTCGGGACCATAGTACGTGCCGACTTTTGACATTCTTTTTCGTAATTAGTAACAAAATAGTCTGTGAGCACGATAAAATTATTTTTACTTTGTTCTTCTTTGTCCTTCTTTTCTTTTTACTTTTTTTTTCTTATAGTCAGTGGATGGAACACTCCGGATCCAACGACGGTGTCCGTCGGGACGGTAGCGTCACCGGTGACCAAAATGCTGTCCGTCTCCGGGAAACTTTGGTGCGGATGTCACAACAGCGTTAAAGTTTTGAATACCCACACTCTGGACATCGAGCACACATTCGCCGTGAGCAGCGACCCAAGCCGCGCCGTTTCCTGTATGGCAAACTCTGGCGGTTTAGGCGTTTGGATTTCCTTACACAATAGCGCTGTGCTGAGGCTTTTCCATTCCGGTACATACGAGTGCCTAACCGATATCAACATCGCGCCAGCTGTTACCAAAATGCTTGCCAGTAAGTTTCAAATCTTGAATAATTAGAAACTCGGGTTAGATTAGTAGAAAAATTTAAAGAAACAATTAAAAAAAAATTATTAAAAATGATAAAATTTTATATAGATCTCAAATTTAGGATTTCGTAAACTTTCTACTAATTTAAAACTACCTCTTCTAATTGAGACTAGGACTTAATTTTTATATGAATTGTAAGTATTAAGTTAATTTAAAAAACAATAAATATAAAATATTAAGATATTAAAATAGAAATAGATGTGTGACACACCTTTCAAACTTGTTGAATTGCGTCTGAACTTGATTACCCGAATGATAGAGACGATAAAGACGAGTTCCCATCGAGGGACAAGCTTCGGCACTTATTTTAACGGAAGCTTTAAACTTGTTGCAGGTTGCGATGACATAATTCGGCAGCACAAGGCTGCGTGTCTCAGGGTCACCGCACTATTGGCTTGCAACGAATTGCTTTGGATCGGCACGAGCGCTGGCGTGCTGCTCACCGTGCCAATTCCCCATATAAAGCCATCTACTCAGAGGATGTCGCAGCCGCCGATCGTAACTGGTGCGTATTGACGTCATATTCTATCGCCTGTGTCGTTATTATTGCCTCGCGATATAATTAGAAAGCTGGCCGACACCCCAAATCTCGCGCGATCTTCGTCTACGTGGAAGGATACAGAAGCGATCGATCAATGTCATGTTTCTTTTTTTTATCGCGTTAAAATACGTACGTACAACATACGTACATAACGTGTATGTGTGTGTGTGTGTATTTTGTGTGTGTGTGTGTGTTAATTATTATTAAAATTTATTGTATTGTATATTTTATATATACACACCCTGTATATTATTTTGTCAGACGAATATTAATATCTTATATTATACGTATGTTTGAATTTTGGCATACGTCAAGTGGAAATAAATCGGCCTTATAAAGGTTTTCCTGGAAACAAACTGCATGAGAAATTATATTTGCATAACTAATTTGATTAAAATTATGGCCAAAGATTTTAGAAACTCGGCAAATCTCGCTATGAAATTTACACGCTACTTATTCTTTACGTTCACTAAAGCTTTACATTAAATAATCTTTATCAAATTAAATATTTAATAAAATTATGATGTTCTATACAGGAATTCCTCACGGACACACAGGACACGTGCGTTTTCTCACCTGTGTGGAAACACCGAATCCCTCGAAACCGGATCCTCGTCCAAAGGTGAATCGTTATTCATTAAAATCGAACAAAACGCAACAGAACAACATCAATCGCGGTAAACTCCTGGTGATATCCGGCGGAGACGGTTATGAAGACTTCCGTGGACCTCAAGCATCCGCTGAGTTGCAAGCTGGTCGCGAAGACTCCACAAACCATTTACTGTTGTGGAAAGTGTGATACGATATGGCACGACCCCAGGTAAAAGATACAACAAGTCCCCGATAAAAAATATTTAAAAAATATTATTGTAAAATTTGATTTAAAATAGGTGAACTCTTATAGATCAAATATACACAATATATCAATTATACACATTATTTTGACGTAGAACTACGTCTTTCTCGGGGGGTATGGGGGTATTTTCTTGCAACGTTTTTATGCAACGTTTTCTTGCAACGTTTTCATGCAACGTTTTCTTTTTCTCGAAAAGTATTAAAGAAAAATATACTTTATTATATAGTTTTTGAAAGCTCTCGATGTAAGCTAAATGTTTTCGTGGTTAATTTTTCGATATGGGTTTGTTCTCGAAAAGTATTAAAGGAAAATATACTTTATTATATAGTTTTTGAAAGATTTCGATGTAAGCTAAATGTTTTCGCTCATTGTTGGTTATGTTCTCTTGATACTTCATCGATTTTTCGAAAATTTTTTAATATTGGGAATTTTGGATAGTGCGACCTCTTCGTTGGTTGCTAAATGTTTTCGCTCTTCGTTGGTTATGTTCTATTCTAATAGACGTAGTTCTACGTGTTAATTGCGGCACAGTTGTTACTGTGCTTGTTAATTTTTTATATCGCTGTTGCGTGTACAAAGAAGAACAGATTAAATGATAAAACTTACGTTATAAAAAAACACGAAACAAAATTATTCTTTTTCTTTTCTGCAGATCACTTATTTAAAAACAATATTTAAAGTACATTTTTTTTCTCACAAGACAATTTTATAATTTTTTGTCTTGGTTTTATTATAATTTGCTACTGTGCATTAAACTTTTTTAATATTTTATTAATATCGTACGCTAAATAAAGTTTTTCATCATGCTGAACAAGGTTCAGGATGATGCAGAAATCATTTTACTTCTAGTAAGTATGCATTATTTAAAAATTTTGATTATGAAATTTATCTATATCCCGTAGAATTTAAACGTGTATGATTTATTATTTATGTTTGTTGCACATGTATTTCCTGTAGCAACGATTTTATTTTATTATATCAATTTTATACGATAAAATATATTTTTTATTTCCTTCTTATATATTTTTCTCCCGACTACTGCCAACCTTCGGTTGGCGAAGACGAGGGAGTATGCGTTTTACTGGGACCGAAACTTTTTATATAAAAATTTTTGTTCTTTAGTACAATAAGATTCTTCTATTTATTGAAATCTATACATGTCATTGTTGAAAACACGTTTTTACTTAATGCGACGAAATATTGAAACAAAAAATAAATTTATTTTATCGCAAAAAGTAAACTGAATGCCCAATATAATCGTATCACAATTTTTTATTTATTTAAATTAATTGAATTTGCCTGTTATTAATATCTAATCTATTATTATAACATCTAAATGATTATTAGATTCATGGTTAAAAGTTGATAATTTATCAATCAAATTATACATATAGCACGAAGAGAAGATATTAATAGGTATAAAAGAAGATATCTCGACATTTTTTTATTATAACACAGTAAACTTACAATTAGTAATTTTAAACACTATTATGTATACAATATTACACACTAGTACGAATATTAATAGATTTAGATTAGTCAAACTTTCTCTAGACAGATCTTAGTTGAGCATGTCTAATCTATATGGATGTACGTATATAGACACTGTAAATAAATAGTTGAAGGGGGGAATGTAATGAAGATCATCTACATTGCAGGCAAGGGTCGCGGTAAATGAAAGCCGGCATGACACGCCGTGGGAATCGTTGTACGCGCAGCACGCAGGCAGACGTTGCCGTCGTCTGATCGTGGCCGATCAGAACACATCGGCGCGTCGGGTTTTCAGGGAACGCGGGCGGGTTCTCTGGTTGGTATTAGCTGAGTGGATCAAGAGTAAGATGCGAGAAGTGCACTGCTCTCAAGACGTAAGGAAATATCGATTGCAGCTCGCGCGGGAGTCCGACCGATCGAAGACGGTCATGGATCTGTCTTAGTCATCGTTGCGCGATTTATAAGTGGATTTGTAATTTCCCGATCATGATGAGTTACGTCGGTCTGATGCAAGATCGTTTACCAATGACGAGTGCTCGATGACCGTGGGATTTTGCTTTCTCGATTACATATCCGAAATTATTTGGAGATTAACATATAATAAAACAATTATTATATTTAAATCTGAACGTTTGTATTATTTTCTCTTTACATTGTAAATTGTTCAATTATTAGCAATATGCGTTTGCATTAAATAATCACGATTGAAAAAAAATGTGTATATTTATCTCGAGTTGCCTTATAATATTTGCGATATTTACATGTATTTGAAACTGTTAACTTCTTGTGAATTGAGCACATGTCTTTGGTAAATCATTAATACCGGACGAATCGCGGGATCGCGAATTTTCTGTTGGAAATGGTAGGATCTGATTCTTGATGTCGATGTCGATGAATGTTTTGATATCGATTCGCTATACACGAAGATATATGTAGTCTTGAAAGTGGCCCACACGTTAAGTTAACAGATTCCAAAACAACACAAAGGTCCAAAGAACGTGTACAAGAACGTCTACAAAATTTATAAAAATGAAACCTGTTTTTCTTTAAGTAGGGTCTTTACGATACTTTTTAGATGTTTGTCTCGTTTAGATTTGATCCGTACGTGTATTTTTTTAGCTGCACTTTCTAACATCTTATACGTTTAAAATGGGGAAAAAAATATAGTT